GATCTGTATTTCAGCTTCTTTTGGATCCTGAAACTTTGTGGCTTGGATTTCTGCTTCATAGAATTCCTTAATCTTATCTAAAAATGTCTGCAATGGTTGTATGCCTTCCTTTAAAAACAGGGCCTGTCCGATATCCAGCTTGTAATCCTCCTCTGAATGTGTGAGCAGATGGAGAAGTTCATGAAACCCCTGGTGGATCTCATCTTCCTGAATCTTTGTCATGTTAAAATCAAGGCCCTTTAAAATCTCTGCATGCGTGTTTGAATTTGTCCCTAATAGCAGGACTGAAAGCACTATAGAAATGCTGCAGGGTGAGAAAACAACGTTCTCTCCATCTGATCTTGCAGCCAGTATTTTGTAGAGTTCAATTGCAAAATGTTCAATATTGTGTTGGATCTTGATAGCAGCTTTGGGGTCATGATGATCGTGGTGATGATCGACATCATGGTGGCCATGGCTGACGAGGGAAAACACCAACAAGGCCAAGCTCAGATGAATGATTCTGTTCATCTTGCCAGTAATTTATTCTGCAAAGGAAAATAGGAATAAAGAAGAGGGATTTTATTTTATTATAAACTGTGTTTGTAAAATTCATTTTCTGTACAGTCTTGCAGTATTTTGGTTTCTAGCTGAAGGTCACATTAAAGGATGTTGATGATAAATTGTTACTTGTAGGCAGGGGTGGGTTCTGGCTTCTTTTACTGCTGGTTCGCTCAGGGATGTGCTTCGGGTGTGCGCACGCGCAGAAGCAAAAAACAAGATGGTGGCACTTATGGTGCCGCCGATAGAACCAATTCCGGTTCGTGTCCAGCCAAGTTACTCCCTACTCGGCCGAACCAGGCCAAACCGGTGGGAACCCATCTCTGCTTGTAGGTAGTCTTTGAGTTATCACCATAATAGAAACTGCTCGTTAGGGTTGAAATTAAGGACAAATGTTAAATGAACTGGCTCAAGTAATGAATATCCATCCCTGTGGTCCCCAGTGCATTTGTTAAATAAATGAGTGGGTCATTAAGTGGAGTGTGGGGTGCCTCAGGGATGGGAGACATCCTGGGAGGATTAGTGAAGCCACAAGCCCACCTGCCACAGGTCTCCCATAGCGTCCTCCATTCTGCTTCCTGCCTCTTGGGTGGCTTTCATACATTCCCACCACACTGCTGACCACATTGCTAGGGAGAAAACATGGTGAAGGAAAACTCTGGAACACTTGCCTTTCCAGGTTCGACCATTGCCCTTCTTCCTGCCAAGCTGTATCTGCCTTTCCGGGGCAAAAAAAAGTCTACTCCTCGAGACTTTCAGAACTTTCTGCCCTGATCAGCTGACAGAATAGAGACTGCAAAGCTCTCCTGCCTCTTCTTAGTCTTTGGGAAACCAGACCCTGCACTCTAAGGCAGAAGCTTCAGGACAAGCTTCCCAAGCCTTTCCCTTGCTTTAACCCAGGGGTGAAATTCAGCAGGTTCTGACAGGTTCTGGAGAACTGGTAGCGGAAATTGTGAGTAGTTCAGAGAACTGGCAAAAACCACTTCTGGCTGGCAACAGAATTTGCTACTGCAAATTCTCCATTTCCATCCCACTCTGTTGCCTGCGAGTGGGGTGGAATGGAGATTTTGCAGTATCCTTCCCCTGGAGTGGGGTGGGAATGAAGATTTTGCAGTATCCTTCCCCTGGAGTGGGGTGGGAATGGAGATTTTGCAGTATCCTTCCCCTGCCACATCCACCAAGCCATGCTCACAGAACCGGTAGTAAAGATTTTTGAATTTCACCACTGCGTGACACCTTCAGCCCTTGCAAGGATTTCTGCATGTT